TGGGTTATCTAGATAAATGTCTGCAAGGTACAGTCTGGGGTTGCCACTTGTTTCTTAGCAATTAACAATGCTCCTGGTGTTGAACAGCAAATCCTGGTCAAAGAAAAGACCGTCCTAAAACACTTTGTCCATAATAATGCTGCCTGAAAGAAACAACAAAATTTACACTAGTGGTTTATATTTAACCAAGATTGAGAATTACTGAAGATTTTCAGAGCAGCTGCCAGCTCTGCTTTTGAGCCATTCTTGTGTTTTGATATTTGACCTGTGCTTTGTAGGAACTTACTGCACATCAGGAAGCCACAAAGGTGTGTGAAAAATTGCCAGCATCTTTATCCTTGCACCCATTTCTTGCTTTTTTGAGGTGTTGCGATTCATTGTTGTGTTTCACAAATCTCTGTGTGCACATTTTATACAGCAAACCACAACTTCTCGGGTCATTATTTAAAGGGGAAGTAAAAACAACCAATGTTCCTCCTCCATCACAAAAGGGAATGTGGGGCAGAGAAACTTCCCCTTCCCAGCCTCTCCTTTCCTTGGAATGTTAATGGCATTCTGACAGGATGTTGCCCTGTATGAAAGAGAGACAAAGATTCACCTTTCCACTGAAAAAATCTGAAATGGTAGCTAAGGATTTTAGTGAAAAATTAAAAGCAGAGAAAACCTTATCATTACCTAGGATCTTCTTTGAAAAGCATTAGTATCACTGTAGAATTATTTATCATTGTAATTGTACTGAGGGAAGCACCTTGTCCATTCTCACCAATATGGCAATGTCCCTTCTGTTCAGCTCTTGTGGTGCTCGGCAGAACTTCAGTGTTCCACTTCTGTAGTGTTGGATAGGATATGCAAAGATAAAGATAGCCTGGTTTCATGCAAGCCCATTTAATCTTATAAATGGATCAGATGATGACAGTCTGCACCAAAGTAAAAGCACACTTTGATCCACCTGTGAGAAACTGCAGAGGGGATTACACCCCTTTCTCCTTTATCTCACAGAGGAATTTTCCATCTGCTGTTAGCCACTGAGGGTGAATAAGCAGTGCATTTTTGGAGGTATTGTCAGAACTGCATTCCTCTGACTAGTTGTTTGTTCTGAACCAAATGAGTTCTTGGGGAGCACATGGAAAGCAACTCAGCATTTTTAGAAGGCATGATCTGCTTTTTGATTCTTTATACTTTGGCATGTGTATTCTTGGAACTTTTAAATAGGTTATTTGAGCCAAGCTATTAATTAGCAGCAGTGCACCTTTGATACAGAGATAATGTTTGGGACACTCTGGGCAGATTGGATGGAGTTCTTCCATGTTTGAAAGCATATACTAATTTTTTTTTTCATGAACAGTATGCCTAAAAGTTTGACTAGATGTTGGAGGATTCATGGGAGAATGAGGAGGAGTCACTGTGGCTGAATCAAGTTAAATTTGCTCAAGAAGCCAGAACTGCAGCTGAACTCATGTCCAGAATTTGGGGATGCTGAGATTAGGTAGTATTTGATTAGGTAGTATTTGCCACTGCAAAGCATAAAAGGAATATTCACTAGCCTGCCTCATTTGAGTTGGAAAATGAAACGTGGTGATCAATTCCCTGTGATACACAGACCCTCAGACAGGATTAGGAAAGGGGATGGAATGACCAAGATGATCAGAGACACCAACAGAGTGAGGGTCTGTCAGCTAACTGTTATATTATTGCAGTAGTACAAACTTTCTTGTTCTGTTTACTGTTATGTTGTCCTTTACTCTTTTCATGCATGAAAAGAAATACATTGTTGAAATTACCTAATGCCTAGTGACCCAAAGTATTATAAATAGAAAATTTTTTAGGGGAGCCATTCATTGCTGCAAGAGTTTCTTCTTTGCCTTTTCTTGTCTTTTATTATAAAAGAATGTTATACAAAGGGAACATAAAAATTTCTGGATTTCTTTCTCTGTCCATTTGATCTTCTGTTTGCTTCCTCCTATGTCTGTTGTCCTTTTTGAAGGATGATGTAGGTGCAGATAGCTTGAAAGGAGGAAAAAACATAAAACTGCAAACATAAGACTACAGAAATGCCTGGCAGGAGATTGTTCTTAGGGACAGTGTTATGGTGCAGGAACACGTGGCCCATTTCCTTTCTATTCTTCCCAGCATAAGAAACCGTTGGATTAGGAATCTTCAAGCCTTGTTTAAATGTCTCTATAGTAATGGCACATGTAGTAATCATGCTCAATGAAATGAATTTTGGTATCCAGTTGTGAAAGTCCTTGGCACACACCAGTTCTTGGACCTACTTATAATTCAATGGGAGCTTATGCAAAGAGCAGCAATTTATTTGCACACTCTCAGTTGGAAAATGGGGACACAATTTTGCCGTTTTTCAGGTCAGCCCATTGCTGCATAAATGTCTTGAAAACATTTGAAAAGAAACCAGTTTGAATAGAGTAAAATAACATTTGTTAGTGTTTTCTTTTAAGATCAGATGTGTTTGGTTGGAAAAACTTATCTGAATGCTCTTAAGCTTGCTCAAGTATTGAATTTTTGTTGGGTAGCCCTAATAAAAGAAGTCAATGCCCATTTTTGCAAAAGGGAGGGTGGTAAGTGACGAAAAGTATTAAAACTTTTTTGGTTTCTACTGATCAAATATATAATTGGCTGAGGAAGACATGGACTTAAATAATAAAGGAATTCATACCTCCGGTGCTTAATTTTCAAATTTTTAGGCTAACCTATTAACCAAGTACTTCTAAGTTGACAACCTTATCATTTGGAAGATGTGGGAGTGCTGCAACTATCTATTCATTTATTTGTGAATTGATTAAGCTACATTTTCTAAGAATATATTTGTATAACTTCTGTTGGTGTCACAGAAGTTTTGAAAGTGTTACAGTGGCCATCAAGACAAGCCAAACCCTAGACTGTTTTAGCTGATCCCTGTTTTGTCAGGCTAGGGTTGAAAAATGGGGACTAAAAGAACAGCAACAGAGTTACCCAACCATGCTGAACACAGAGCGTTGCATTGTCAGTGAGCAGACTCCAACACACCTGACTATTTCTCTTGGCTGAGTCCTCCAGAGCTCTAATGGATATGTGGGAAAAATTGGGTTTTTAGAAAGCATTTGCCGCCCCTCCCCCCTTTCCCCTGCTTCCAGATGGCATTATATAAACACACAGTTCCAGGTGACCTCCTTCCATCTTCCTACCTGGAAGTGCCTGTGTAGAATTGGCAGTAACCGATGCTGTATATTTTGAAGTAGACAATAATTTTGCTGTCTATCCAGAGAGACCTATAATTTTGTGAATTCTGCTTTTGGATAAAATGTACTTACTGATGTAAATCTAGCTTAACTTTCTTGGATTCTTGTTTTGCTTGTCTAGTGCCAAATAACTTAAACTTTCTGGCCATGATCCAACTGCCTTGTTCAACTGGATTTACATGTGTGGTATGTGACTTTGGCACATGGATGAGGGACAGCAGAAGTTATGGATTTCTCCTGCTAAGGAGATATTCTCTGTAACTTCAATATGTGACTTCCCATGCTTTTAATCCAAGAATGACACTTATCTTTAAAGTCACTGGAAAGCATTTTTTTCATCTTAGTTTATGGTAAAATTGGCTAGCAATGGTCTTTATTTGAAAAAGGTATTAATCTTCTTTTTTATTAGCATGAACTGCATGATTTTTTCAAAAAGAGTATGGAACATGTATTTGCTTTGGTCTTCTGAAGAATTCCTATACTACAAATAGCAACCTAGAAGTGGTGAATGAGACACCACCTTCTTTGCCCATGTTCCTTCTTTGGTGAGAAGAATTTGCAGTACTGCTGCTCATTAGGCACTGTGCATGCTGTGAGCTGTGGACTGTCTGACATGAGTTTTACCAGTGCAGTATGATGAGCTGTAGCAGTGCCTTATTGTCCCTACCCCACCTCTGTTAATATGTTTCAATATCTCTCAATGGGGTTTTTTCTTGGGTTTCCCTTTTGCCAGTTTGGGCAGTGGGTCCAGACCAGTGTGCAACAAGTTTGGCTATGCTAATTCCACATTTTCTGTTATACCTGGATCAAAACCCCCCACTTTAATACTGTACTGAAATGAGGACAGATGCTTTTAATTTAGCACACACCATCATTCAAATTCACTTACCATTTGACATGAGTGAGATGTTCCGGTCCTGTAATCTGAACAATTAATTTTTTAAGTAATTGCCTGTCAACTGTGATGGGTGAGCAAAACCAGACAAATATGGTAGCACTAGTGCTGTTTCCCCAGGAGCATTGTTTACAAGGGCAACTACTGTATAACCTTTTGGAGAAGGACATGGCTCCTCTTTCTCTTTGGGCTGTAATCCAAGGGGTGAAGTAAGCACCTCAAATCTAGGCTGCTTTGCCAAAGAACCTTAAAGCAATCAACAAGGTTGGTGAATGGTTTTCTTCGAGATTCTAATTTTAAAAGAAAATATTTATAAAGGTGGGGTATGAAGTTCTTTGAGGGTTTTTTTATTGCTTTCTTGGGGGGTTTGTGGAGTTTTTGTTTTTGGGTTTTTTTTGAAGCTGAAACCAACCTGGTGTTTGATACTGAAGTGTTGAAAGACCAGTGTGTTTAACTTTGAAAAGAATCCCAAGTACCCTGGGGATGTTGTAAATCCAGTTTCTTAGGAGAGCAAAATGCTACTGTAATGGATCCCCTTTGAGACATTTCAGTCATCAATTTGTTTTCCTATTATTGTAGTGCACTGTGATGTTTGGAAATTAGTACCACAGCACAAGAGAGATTTCTACCCATTTTTAATGTGTGTGACTTTAGGGCTCTGTGGAGGGGGGCACCTGACTGAGTGGAAGGGTTTGTGATTCCCTGAGCTGGGAAGGTGTAGGTGTGAGGGTTGATTTGAGGCTGTCATATACCTGTACACTCTACTGGTCTGTATCACACCAAGTTGATTTTCATGACTTTTCCCATTGAGAAAGTACTAAAGCAATTGTGGGTCTGGCTTTAACTGCTGCACCTATCACCCTTCCCAGGCAAGGGACCTGAAACTCTTTATGCTGGGCAGAAGCTCAATGACAATGAGTGGCACACTGTCCGGGTGGTGCGGCGAGGAAAGAGCCTCAAGCTGATCGTGGATGATGATGTTGCTGAGGGTAAGTGTGATGCATCAGTGTTTTTTGATCACTGTGTCTCTGTTCCTAGTCTTTGCCATTATGCTCCTTCTCCCTGTTCTTCTGGGTATCTCTTCCCCCCCCCCCCCCCCCCCCCCCCCCTCCTGTTAGCACTCATATATTAATATTGTTACAATGTTGAAAATGAGTGTTCAGGTCTGAGAGACTCAGCCAGCACCAGAAACTTCTGTGGCAACTGTAATGACCTGAGATATAGGTTTAGGAGACAGATAAGCTTGTACTTATCTCAGACTGTAGAGGGTTCAGCAGAACTTTCTCTTGGTCCAGGGAGACTGAGCACACTCCATCCCTGAGTTGCACGTGTGATGGTTTCCAATGCTCTGGAATCTGGAATCTCTTGGAAGGCCAAGGCTCTCTGGACCATTCCTCTGCACAAACTTTTCCTTGATGATAAACCTGCATGAAGTACATGTGTTACAGAGCACAGATTTATGTCTCTGCTGCTCATTTTTGGTTATTCTTCCATTTTTTAATTTTTTTTTTTTTTTTGTAGTTTGGGCATTATAGGTTATTTTCTTTATGTTTTTTTAGTTTCCCAAGTTCTTGTGTGCATGGTTCAGAGCCATCCAGAAGAAAAAGCAAGCAAAGAAATTTATTCTCAGCTTTGGTTTAGAGTTTAGGGAGGATCCTGACTTGGCAAAGTGTGTCAGTCCTTTTTTTTAAAAATTATTTTATTTTTTAAATAATTTTCTGAATTTTCAGACAGCTTTTTGAGCTCCTACTTCTTGTTGCAGAGAAATGTAGTTGCAGAGAGGAAAAAAAAGATCAGTCAGGAAAGTTGGTTTGTCCCAGGTTAAGATTTGCATTGAAATGATCAAAGTACTTCAGATTGATCCTTTTGTAATTGCAGAATTTTAAGAGATTATACTTTTCAAGTCCATTTCCCCATGACTGCAAGAGCCAAAATCCTATTTTTCTATTCTTTTGAAGATCTTAAATTCTCATATTTGTATATAACTTTAGGAACTGGGCTTTTGAGAAAAACATCAGCAGTCTGGAGGCTGATGATAATAAAACAACAACAACAAACAACAAAAACTAAAACAAACAAAAAACCCAAACCAAAACAAAACCAGGAACCCTGGATGCAAAACTGATGCAGGCATAATTGTTAGTTTACACCCATGCTGGCTTGCCAAAAAGCTGAAATCCTCTTTTCTGAGTAGCTTCTACTCAGAATGCAACTAGGAGTAATGGCTGACACACACAGTGCCAGAACACTGTAACTTATCTCTGAAAAAAAAGTGTTTTTCTTCTATATGAATGTGAATTATTTTAAATATTGTGGTAATTTAGATAATTTGGAAAGCCAGGAGTCAGAAATCTGAAATATGCTCAAAGAAGTTGGCTTACAGGAAAATGGTTTGAAATAAGTTTTCTCTCTGAAGTAAATATGTACTGTCCCATATAGACTGTGATTTTGCAAGAGAGAACAAAAAACATGCAAGAAAAATCATTCCCTCTCCTCGTTGAAATTCAGCCTTGTTAGTGGCTTGGTCAAAATTAGCTCATAGGAAAAATGAATTTTGTTTAGGAGGGAACTTAAAAGAAACACTTCATCCCGATTACTTCTAAATTTGAGAACAATTCTTCTGGATGTGCTTTTTTAGGAAGCACCACGGGGTGGCACTCTCTGCATTACCGAACCGATCCCCCAAAGCCATCTGTTCTTGAAGTCTTTTTCACGAAGCAGTTTATAAATAATAATGATACAATCCTGTACTAAAACAGGATATGCATATGTACATGTATATGAATTACATAATTAAAGATGCATTGCAGCTAAAAATATCTGTTAAAAGAATGCCATCATGGCAAAGTCAGAAGTCAGAAAAGCCAGAGTTAAGATTTTTTGTGCAATCTGCATCCCACTTCCTTGGGCAGATGATAACAGTCTTCAGTGGTGTGGTCATATAGATTTTTCCACAGGATTCTTGCTGTCTTAGGCATAGATCAGAAATCTAAATTAGGCCTCCAGTAAAAAGAAACAGCCTATCTGATTTCTGTTTTCTTATTGCTTGTTTGGAACAATGCATGCCAGCTGAATTTTGCTCTAAATTTAGATTATTTTTTACATTTTTAGTTTTTTTATTTTGTGTGTGTGTGTTGTAGGCTACTCATCAACGTGTTTATACAGAACTAAAAAGTTTAACTGGATTTATTCCCATATCTATGTTACGTGAAGTGAGGGGGCATCTTTTTCCCATTTTACAGGTTTGGGAACAATCAGATTATAGTTGGATGTATTTGGTACAAATTTGCTGTGTTCTTTTAGTAATTTTCATCAGAAAGATTCAGCATGTCTGTAAATTACATCCTGTGAATTAGTTGAACCCTGCCCCTTGGAGAATTAGATGTAGACAATTAATGACCACCTATGAAAAATATGTAATGAAGTGTCTGACTTGGTTTCCTGTAGAACATCCAAGGCAGAGACAGAATCCAATTCTGGACAGCATTTTACTGTTTTATGCAAAGGTTCACAAAACCTTTGTCCCACATTCCTCCTGACCTCAGAACAGATGTCAGAACATCAGTGGTAAATGAGACACAAATACAGCAGACATATTCCTCTCTGTGGCATCTTCCTAGCACCCAAATACCACAGTGAAGGCTGGAATTTTTTCTGTCTGCTACCACTTGAAATAGAGAGCTTCTGATTGCTGTAGTAGCTACAGTACTCTATAGAGCACAGTGGGGAACTAGAGGTGAACTCTGCAGGTGGGGCTGATAGCTAATGAGATCAGAAAATACTGGATTGCACTCCATGATTTCCTGGGAAATTACATCTCTGTCCTGATTCTGATCTTGTATTGCCATGTCCTTTGCAGCTTTTCACTGAACTGCTCCTGACTTTCTACAGTACTGCCTCTAGCACTATTTTTTTTTTTTTTATTAAGCCAGCCCCAGTTTTCTTATTTTTCACCTTTTCTGAGATTCTGGGCTCACCTTCTCCAAACTCCCTCACTCCATTTTTAACGTCCCCAATATTTGGGCTCCCTATTCCAGTGTGCTCTGGATTCCCCAGTCTTGGCTTTTTTCTTCTACTCAGGCCACAATTACCTTGTATTTTTTTAAGTGGAAAAGAAAAAGGCAGGAGCCTTTGAGAACTGAGATCTCTTAATTTTATTGTTCTAATTTTTTGAAGTAAAAAAAAAACAGGCTTTTTTTAAAGTGACTTTTATAATTTTAAGAAAATACACTTCTGGTTTGGAAAAATCATAAATTTTATAACACTGAAATTGAAATTGAAACTCTGAGGATCACAGTAGTGGAAGTGAGAAAGCTGTCTAAACAAATTTCCCCATGTACTGTTTCAGTTTCTGGAAACTTCAATTTTTCAAACTAAAATAATATTATTTCTGGTAAAGAACTGTTTCAGGATTTAAAAACATTTGCATTGGTTCTGACACTTGAATTTTTAAATAGTCAGAAATTTGTGACTGCCTTCAGCTGCTTCTAAGTTTGATCAGCTGTGTCTGCTTGGACTGAAGTTTTCCATGGTCTTTGTATAATTGTATAGATATTTAGATCCACTGGTAAAATTTGGAATAAGTGAAAAAGGTGAATTGGTTTATATAATATTTTTTCTTCGTATTTGAAGTACATAGCTGAAAAAAAATTTCTAATAACAATTGTGCTTTCTTGCTGTCTTTGAATAAAACTTGTTCACATTTGGACAAAGCATAAACTGAAAAGCTGCAGTTTGTACGTGACCGTGTAAGGTGAGTTAGAAATATTTCAGAGTTTCCAGGATGTCTAAACAAGATAATGACCATCAGTTCATGTAAACTGACTCTATACACTACAAGCCAGGATGTATCATCCATGTGTCTTTAAAAGCGTGTTCAGGTTTTGTTCTATCCCCAACAGAGAAAAAAAAGCCAAAGTCACAACTTGTAGGAAAAGTCTTGAAAGGACTAATGGTTTTTTGTTTGTCAATTTTTTTTTGGTTTTTGTCTTTTAATGCCTGGAAGTTGTTATGGTGAGAAATGTTAGGAGAGTTCAGGAGACAGCCCAGAATATGAGAAAGCTTTTAAGCCCCAGTTGATATAACCTAGGGGAATTGGAGGAGTTTGTTCTGGGTTCAGCTATGGGGATTGGTATGATTCCTAGGTATACCCCAATGACTGACAAATATCTCTTGCAGTGACTGGTTGAGAATTGTGTAGATATGCTTGCTGACCAGCAGATGCAGTGAAGTCAGATACTGTTGCTAAATTTTGTCTGTCTATAGCACACTGGAAATATTTATTCTGGTCTTTATCCAGTTGTCAAATTTCACAAAGCTAGTGTGAGTTTAAATATCTTTGTTCCCTCTGGATTTTAAACCTGGTGAATTTTACCAGCATGTTAAAATCTTATGAGAGGGACCAACAGGTAGTGTGGCTGTATTCTTTGGAAAACCTGCTAAAAGAGAGGACTGTGCACTGATTATAATCATGGACAAAACACACTTCACTTGGAGAGAATTAATTTAATTTACTGCCAATTAAAAATAGAGTTGAATGGTGAGAAACAAAGACAAGAAAGTAGAACAGTGTCTGCCACTCTCTTTTACTGGATTTGCTCCTCCCTGCTCTCCCACCTGCCCCCACTAGGCAGAGAAAGGAACTGGGGAATGGTGGCTGTGCTCAGCCTGTAACAGATCCTCTCTGATGCTCCTTCCTCCTCACACTTCTGTCTTGCTCCAGTGTGGGTCCTGGCCATGGAATGCAGTCCTTCATGAAGTGCTCCAGTATGAGGGCGTCTCCATATGCTTTCAGGAAAACCTTCTCCAGTGTAGGCTTTCCAGGGGCTGCAGTTCCTTCAGGAAATATCCACCTGCTCTAGCACAAGAGTCCTCCATGAGTTGCAGTGTAAATGTCTGCAACACTGTAATCTTCTTTGTGGATGGTGGATGATTTCTACTCTGGCACCTGGAATGCCTCCTCCCTCTTTTCAATTCTTGATGTTCACAGAGGTTTGAATTGGTTCAGCTTTTTTTTTATTATTATTTTTTCCCCCCTTTGTTTCTTGTGCATAGCATTGTGTCCTTTCTTACACATTTTCTCCCAGGTACCACCATCTTGTCCAAGGGGCTCAGCAGTGCCCTGTGGTGGATGGGTTGGAGCCATTTGGAACTGGCCATTTTGGGCACGAGATAGCCCCAGCCTTTCCTCACTACGGCTGCCCTGCAGCTACCCCCCAGCCAACACCACGCTCCATAAACCCAATGAGAACTGCAGAAAATTTCGTGAGAGAAAAAATAATGGCCTACATGTAGCAGAATTTGAATGGTAGTTGTACAGTGAACGGTAGGAAAACAACTAAATTCTTAGTATTTCATTCATTCCTTTTTACCACGTGGATCAAGGCTCATGTAGAAAAACACTGTGCACATGTGACCAAATAGTGAGAACTACCTCAATGAAGAACTATGGAGAGCAAAAATAAGATTGGCTGAAAGGGTTTTCATGCTGATGTTGCCCAACTTGTCTTCATAGCATACTGTTGTATTTCATCTGTCTGTATGTGTTCTGTGTCAGCACTGGTGCCTAGCACACTTAGTGAAACATTTAAATATGCTGTATGAGGAGTCTGACAGTAGTATTTGGCATACTGAATAGCTTGGATGTTTTGAGAGGTTAAAATCTTGTCATGATGTCGTAAATAGCCCAAGTGATAGTAGGTTGATGATTTAAATAGATGGAGGGCTTTTTACCTGTTGCATTTTGTGTGTTTCCCTCCTGCCGTGCTCTTAAAAGAGAAATAACATTAGGCACAAGGAGAGAACAAAGGAATAAATATCAGCAACTTTATGACTGTTCTCACTTCTCTCATTGCTCTATTTATATTAATCTATGTTTAACAAGTGTTTTCAGGAGGTGCACTTGGAAAAGTTGTTTCAGAAGTGTTCGAGTTGTTTGGCAGATGGTCTGCTGCATCAAATAGATCACCGTCAGCTTTAAGGGAGATGCCTGGTCCTCTTCACAGACAATAAAGTCTGTGAAGCACAGGGAAAAGGACAGAGCTTGCTGCCCATGGCCCTTTAGAGGCCTCTCTTTTCTGCCAGGTTTTGGCAACTGCTAGACTCACACATCTCCACCAAGCCTCTTCACCAAGATTCTGTACATCCTTTCTTATGCAAGCTACTGAACAGTGATTGGATAGGATTTAGTTCTGCTAGCAGTCTGGAAACTGGAGTTTGGTGGGCTCTATATAATTATTACTGATCCCCAGTATTTCTCCTTGCTTCTGTCCTTCAAGGCACAATGGTTGGTGATCACACCCGCTTGGAGTTTCACAACATCGAGACAGGGATCATGACAGAGAAGCGCTACATCTCCGTCATCCCCTCCAGCTTCATCGGGCACCTGCAGAGCCTCATGTTCAACGGGATGCTCTACATCGACCTGTGCAAGAACGGCGACATTGACTACTGCGAGCTGAAGGCGCGCTTTGGCCTCCGCAACATTATAGCTGACCCTGTCACGTTCAAGACTAAGAGCAGCTACTTGAGCTTGGCCACCTTGCAGGCTTATACATCCATGCACCTCTTCTTTCAGTTCAAGACCACCTCAGCTGATGGTTTCATCCTCTTTAACAGTGGTGATGGCAATGACTTTATCGCAGTTGAACTAGTCAAGGGGTAAGTGGCTTTCTGTTGTTTTCTACCAGCTTATTTTACAGAATTACGTATAGGTGTAAGCATTTAAAGCTTACATGAAGAGAAGTTCACCTGATACTCATGTTTTGTCTGTTTGCTGAGCTGTAAGAGGAAGTGTTTAAACAAAAACACTGAAGCTTAAGACTCCTGATTTTATCACTGACTTCCTCCTATGGCTGTGGGAGGGACATTTTTACAGGGTGCAACATTAGTATTTTAAGTCATTGGGACATAGTTAGACTAATATTTTGTCCATTCAACCTTGCAGATTAGCACAGAGGAGGGGATGTGCTGAGGGCTCTGTATGTCTCTTCTTCCCCACTCCCTCTCCCTTTTCTTTTTCCATTCTAATACCTGTTTTTCTGCCATCTCCAGTGAAGGAAAAAGAAAAAGCACATGGGCTGCTGAATTTGTACTTCTGCTGGTGATGCTTGATGAAAAGCGAACTCAGCTTGCTTTTGAGCTGATGCGTTCTTTTCAGAAGACCTATAGCTCATTAAAAAAAAATCCTTGTTAGCTGAACAAATTTTGATCTCTGATTATTTAGTCATGGTAGACATGTTTTCCACAGTTTACCAGTCCTGTTTATTTCAGTTCAGTCTGTTTTTGTTTTTGGCTTTGCACATACTTCTGTAAGTGGGACATTGAGTAATAAAAAAAGCAACAGTCACAATCTCCTGGTGCTCTGTTGAGAGTAGAATTTTGTTGTCTTTTTTTTTTTCTTTTCTTAGGAGAATACTTCTCTTCCATCCTCAGGTGGATTTCTGTGTTTGAACTATATAAATAATTCAGGGTAACACTCCCATGACTTCAGTCTTTCTTAGGGTCTCTATTTTTGCCAAAAGCTTTGCTAATTGTTTTTCAGCTGTTTGAATAAGTCTAGGATCTCATGAGAATTTTAGTACAATTTTTCAAGTGAGTTTCCTAATTAACTTCTTATGGGAGCTATTCAAAACTCAGAATTAACCTAGGGAATATATGCCCCAAATAGGCATATCTAGTGTTACTCCCCAGTACATTTATCAATATTACCAATTAAAAAAAAAATTATATGCACAGACAATGTTTTTGTGGATCTGAGAGAAATTTGTGAAAAAGAGGAATGTTTTGTGATTAGAATCTGATTACTTGAAATGTTGTCATCTCAAAATACTAATCTTTACACTTTGATGGAAAAGAAACAACTATATTCTTTCAAAGCAGTGGCTAATATTTTGGATTGTTAGAACTTTCTAACCCTGAGATATTTCCCTTCATGACTTCCTAAAGTTAATTTACCAGCTCTGGCTAGAATACAGTTCAGTAATGCTGGAGTTCTTCCAGAATATTAACCAGTTCTTGCTATATTTACATAGGTATATACACTATGTGTTTGACCTTGGAAATGGACCTAATGTTATCAAAGGCAACAGTGATCGTCCTCTGAATGACAACCAGTGGCACAATGTTGTCATTACCAGAGATAACAGTAACACACACAGCTTAAAAGTGGACACCAAGGTGGTCACTCAGGTTATCAACGGTGCCAAAAATCTGGATCTTAAAGGTAAACTCTATAAGATTGACAGATTCCCGCTTTTGTTCTTGCAGGGCTGAACTAGCGAACAGGAGAAAGCTTGGAGTAACCATGCATTGCAAAGCATTGAATCTAGACTTTGCACATTTTGGCTTTCAAATTCATTTATCTCTCTTTTGTTTGACAACTTCTTGTAGCCAAATATTTTGTCATATTTTGCTTTTTCAGAAATTTTCATTTTTCAGTTTTTCCTAGTTAGGTTACAATGAGAACTGGGATTATTTAGGGGATTTTGTGATGGGTTCTTTATTTGATTTTGTTTTTTATTTTGGTTGGTTGTTTAGGTTTTGGGTTTTTTTTGGTATTTTTTAGTAAGGGAATCAGAAATGACTGCTTGCACAATATGTTGCTTTGTTTTTAGCTTTTTCTGAATGTATGATCACTTTGCTTTATTTGCATTTGGTGGCAAGAAAAGTGACTCTAGAAGGTGTGTAACCTCCTCCTCCTTGTGTTTACCCCTCTCTGCTGCAGGTGATCTCTACATTGCTGGCCTGGCTCAAGGCATGTATAGCAACCTCCCAAAGCTTGTGGCCTCTCGTGATGGATTTCAGGGCTGCCTGGCGTCTGTAGACCTGAATGGGCGTCTGCCTGACCTCATCAACGATGCTCTGCACCGCAGTGGGCAGATTGAGCGTGGCTGTGAAGGTATGACTGATTTCAGAGAGGTTCCCTTCTCCAGCACTCACTTCACACTTCACTGTTGCACTCTGTGCACTACTTGTTTACCTTACTGTCCATTTCATTAGTTTGCTTCCATGGCAATATTCTTTATTACACTTTGGTCTACCAAATGCAGCTTATGGATTGCCAGTTCCTGTGAGTGGCTTAGCAGCTCTTTGCCTCTGTGCTCTTTCCCCTGTGAGTTGGTACCTTTACTAGTGGGAAGGGATGGTACTAAGGGATGGACTACTACTTACTAGTGGTTTTTTCAGAGTGGGTTATTAGCATTGCAGTAGCCTTAAAATGCTTTGGAAGATGTTCTGAGCATTCAGTTAATTTGTGCTTCAGAGCAGCCTTTCTTGGGATTCACAGAAGTAAGTATTTGGAAGAACAGGTAGAGACAGGGGAAATGGAAGGTAGAAGGAGCTGAATGATAAAGATTGGACTGAAAGAGGAGTTAATTTTTGATGAGGTGTACCTCTAGGGAAAGCACTGAGGCATTGCCTCTTCTGCCTGGGAAACATTTCTCTTCAGTTCTCTGTCTTTTGCAGCCAGTTTAGAACTCAGTGGGATGAGTTACTTTTTGCAGCATGTAAACTGTAGTGATTTCTTGAAGCCTCTTTAAATAATTTGCTGTTCCTGTAAGCTCCCATTAGTTAAAAGACTATTGACATCAGCATCACTGACTCAGTACAATGCATATGCCTTCAATTCCCAAAGCACTTGCAATACTTACCATCCAGAAGTCCAAGGTTTTGATGTCTAGGTTAAATGACAATCACCATTATGTCTAGAATCACTCAGTACCACCAGTCTGCTGTGTTAGCTACCAGTCACTACAGGAAGATAGCTTTTTCTGTGAAGTTTGTATGTTCATTTGCTAAAACAAGATGTATGTCCCAAACTGATCCTTCAACAATTTCACAACATGAAAAGACTCCTTGATCATCTTTCCCTACTGTGTCAAGATTACAAGATACATCATGACGAAGCCCTCCTGCCTGTCAAGATGGTTCTGTCTTAAGATTGAATGTATCATCTGAGAGAGAACTTTGAGTACCAAATGACCATCCAATCAGGTCTGATCCCTTGTTTGTGTCTCAGTATTCTGGCTGGCTGGGAGCTCCTGTGTCCCAGCCCTCCTTCCATGCTCCCACAATAGTATGCTGGTTTGTAAGAATTTTGTATCTTCTCACAGGAGCTCCCTCCATGTCAACTCCCATCTCATAGCATTGGTGGGCAGTTGTAGGCTGTGGAGGGATAGAATGTAAGAAAATAGTGCAGAAGGTAGTCTCACACCTGAGGAATTGCAGCTGTACCAATCACCACAGATTAGGAACAGGCCTGCCTTTAATAGGCCACAGCTGTGTCCAATAAGAAGCAGAGTGCTACAAAAGAGTGGGTTAGCTGGGTGAGGAGAGAGGTGGGGTTTGTTGGCTGTGCTCAGTTGAGAGGTGGAGTCTGTTGGCTATGCTGTGAAGATGAAGGAGTTAGTGCTGTGAGGAGATGCCCATGAGCAATCACTGAGAAGGTATGGAGCTTTTGCAATAAGATGACAACAGTAGGCTGTTTTTAGTCTGTCTGTCTCTCTTTTTCTTAATAGTGTCTATTAACCACTTTGTTCCTTATGGAAATGAGCACAGTGTAGGTGAACTTGTGTCTTTGCCTGTTTGGGGCAGAGCCAGCAGAAGAAGTACCCCTTTTCTGTATTGTTGTTTATAAGGTTCAAGGAAAAAATGCATCTGAGGTTTATGAAGAAGTCTGTTCTATTTGTATTAAATGCACTGAAAGCTCTTTAGTATTATTGGTTTTTTTGATAACTCTTTTTTTAAAATTATCTCAACCCACTGGCTCTTTAGCTGGCATGTGATCTCTACTAGCCCTCCTCCTCCAGAGAACCACCCAGTCAGACCATCCTGTTGTTCTGTGTGTGACTCAGGGACACAGCCATGAGGCTTGCCCTGAAGAGTGTCCCATTAGAGCTGTGGTGTTTCCTTCTCCTGTACCCAGTGCAGTTCTTTGATGTAGTGTTGTATTGCTGACATTGTGTAACATCAGTGCTGCTCCCAAAACACATGAAGTGGCCCTTTGTCTGTGTGCCAGCATGGTACCAGCACAGCTGCTGCATGAATGTGGAGATTGCTTTGGTTTCCTGAAAGCAAGTTCCCCTTCTCTTCTAAAGTCCTTCAAACAGGACCCAGAATTGAAAAGAGACCTAAAAAATTGGTGATAAAGGCAGTGACGGTCATCATTCTGCCTTTGCAAGAGCTTGATCTTGGAAAGCTGTGCCCTTTCTACCTTCCCAAATGGCCCCTGTTCAGTACCAAGGAAACTGCTGAAGAGGAAAGTGTTCTTTTTTGCCAGCATATTCAGGATTAGTAAAAACTTGAGAATTTGGTTACTGTAAAGCTGTTACGTTTGTTGTTGGTTATTTTTTTCCTTAATTTTTGAATCATAACAATCCTCAAAGCCTCATCTCAGATCTGTCTTGCTGCATGCTGGGGCCTATTCTTACAGTTGCCAGTGAAAGTCACATTTATCTCCCATTCTCTAAGGAAATAAAAACTCTAAGGTTGTTCAGTCCTTATTTATGTCTCCCTAGTTTGTTTCCATCTGATGTAACTTTGGGTGCAGTCTTAATGTTTTTAAGGACAGAAGTCCCAAGTAGTCCTCGCTGCCTCATGATGTTTAAATACATTTTTAATGCAGACTTTTTGTCTGAGTAGTCATGCTGTGTGTTGATTTGCTGGACATCTCTGTATTTCATCATGAAGGGCAGAGGGACCACATCTGTGATGGGAACGTGCATGCTTAAAGAAATGTTGTTCCATTCCCAGAATGAATCTTGTCTTCCAAAGGCCACATGAGAGGGATTTCTGATAATGCTTGTCTCTTGTTGACACCTTGCTTTCAGAGGCAGAGATTACCATGTGGCAGCTGTTTTCTTAGAAACTGTCAGTTTAATCTCAGGATAAAATCAAAGAATATTTAGAAGAAGAAGGCCTTGAGAGCAGTAGAATATGAGATGTAGGTCAGCAGAGAGCACTATCCTGGCTAAGATGCACCAGTACTGCTGCAAAGGGGTGACATTGTTGCATCCTGTTTGTGTTTTTTATCTCTGTTTATGCATTTCAGTACCCTGTTTCATGCCACCAATTAAGATGCACAAGTTTCAACAGGAAAATAATATTCCTTATTGTCTTCTCTTGCCTCCTTTTATTCAATTTGAGCAAGCCATTGAACTTCCTTGACCACGTTGTTCCTCTTGTGTGCTAAAGCAATGATTCAGCCTCCCTGTGCACCAAAGCACACACTTACCACAGAATTATCTGTGTTCCAGTAATGAGTAAGGCTTCTACTTGAACAGGAAGCACTTTCAATAATTTGTATTTATAGGACATATTTTTCTTTGGAACCCACCAAAACATTCTTAGTCATACATACAAGTCACTCTTGAGATGCAGGCATCCTTGAGACTGAAATTGGCTGATGTACAGTGTATAGTAGTGCTAAAAAAAGTCACTTCAAGACTTGAAGCAATAATTATTTTACCTCTGATATCCTACTGGTTCTATCGCTATAATTTCTTTACATTATATATGGTGGGATTTGTTTAGGCTAGCACAACTAAATAACCTCTTCGTAGTTTTTGTTAGGTGACATATCAGCTCCCTATTGCACCATGCAGCTTCCATGTGTGCTGTAGAAGCTTATGGTTTCAGCTTTTGAAGTGTTCAATCACCTGTGTGTTTGACAAGATGATAGCTACCACCCTGACATGTTTTGTGTTTGAATGTGTCCTGTAGTGCCATTGCTTTGGGCAAAGGATTTTGAGGGGGATTATCTGGAAGAAGAGAACCCAAGAGTGTGAAATGTCAAATGATTTTATGAAGTTAAAGGTTCATATCACATACACCTTTTTTTCTTTCGCAATTGCTACATTCCTCATTTTTCAGGACCAACAGGCAGCTCTTCATGAATCTTGACAGTCTGGTCAGATCTGTAGTGGCAGCTTGTGTTTCCTTGGAAGGGATGTTGCAAAGCCAGAAACCACCTTGCTGCCTGGGTTATGTTCAGGTGCTCTGCACACAGCTCTGAGGAGAAAAAATCTTGGTGAGAATGACATGACACCAATATACTTGTTCATTTTTCAGTTTCTTGATCTCTTGTGCTCACTGCAGCTTTCACCATTATCTCTGACCTAACAAAAGGGCCCTTTCTTTTACCACCACCTCAAAAAGGGAATTGGTGAGAGGGCCTGAGAAAAGCTACCAAAAGTAGGAAAGAGGTTTAGACTTAAATGGTCCTTGTGTCAGTGTTGCATCAGGGTATTAAACGCACTGAAGAGACAAAATTAATTTTCAGAAAGGTCTTCAAATGGAATGGCCTCTTCTAGTGGAAGCTTGAAGGCAAGTCTGCCACCTGCTTTCGGCCTTGCTTTCCCCATCCATGAAATTAATCTTCCAGGTGTTCTTGTATTTGTGATAAAAGTATGAAATTCATCTATGTCTTGTAAACCACTTTTAAAATGTGGATGGAGGCTCTTGGACATGAGCAAAACGTTAGAAATGGAAGAAAAGTCTTGTATCAGGACGCAGTTGTCTCCAGTCTGTAGCTCAACAGCCTATGAAGGGTGGTTGGAAACTTTTTGCTCCTGAGTTTGAGCAGTACAGACTATTCTACATCAAACATACACAATTTGAGAGAAAAGATGTCTGCACTATGGTATATATGAAGAGTTGGCAGATGGAAGAAGTTGTATCAGGTGACCTAACTTCCCTTCTTTAAAGTAAACAATTTAAACTTCACCTCTGCTTTCTCTCACTTTTTGACTTTTAAAATGAGGTCTTATTGCTGAACTCCTCGTTCCTGGTCTTACTACTAAATAAATTCCGTCCACAAAAATCTAGACTGAGTGATTGTGTGGTTTTTTTTTTTTTTTTCCACACTGGTCCTTGAATAAGTTAATCAGATGTCCAATCTTT